CCTCCCCACTCATCTGTCATTCTCCTCCTTTTCTTGTTTCCAAACCAAAAGTGTCCATATCTTATCATTTTCCACAATTTTTCCTTGTTCTCAACTTTTATCTTGAAATCCTTGTCTCTAGATACCCCTAGTCCCATTCCTCTCGTTGCTTCTCAATACGCACCCCGCAGCCTCCATCTCACACCCCCTGCACCCCTTCCCCCCCATTTCGTTTTCCTCCCTATTAGTCTCGATGTTGACCTACAGTCAGCCTTTAATCCTCTAAACCTAATTTTACTGCTCCCCAATACCTAGCTAACCGGGGGATTTATAATCAACGTGATAACAAACTTTGCACGTCCATTAAACATTACAGTTCGCGGATTTATTTTATTACAATTCATTCACACTTCGTCGGTAGTTTTCAAGAGGTGCAGTGAGCACAAATCTGGAATAGGAAGACGACTGTCAAATGAACCTGAGACGCCACAGTTTTCTGGTTCTCACTGTATTGAATATAAAGGGACTGCAGATCACGAATGTGCACATAACTAGGATTGCCCTGATGATGCCCATCCCTGGCATAATTAGTGTTTTGAGTTACGTAGTTGAAACATGCAAGCATTAGTATTAATAGCATTAGTCTTCTTACANGGGTGATGTATAATTGAACACCTTAACTGTATGTAATAGATAATTATTCCTTTTATAATTAGAAAACCAGAATCCCTTTAAACACTGAAATTATATGCTTACAGGGTGATAGAAAGAAAATATGCTCTAACTTTATCCGTTTTATCCTGAGAGAGATACAATGGAAAATATTTCTAAAATAGTTCCAAAAAGATTTTCCGAAAAACAATAAGCTAAATCCAAAATTAAAAAAATCTGAAAATTTGATCAAATGAAACAAAGCATACTTGTAGAAGAACAAAACAAATAAAAATGTAGAAGAACAAAACATTTGTTTTAGCGTTTATAACTTAATTTGTTATGATACATAAACATTATTTGGGCCCATGTAAAGATATTATAAACCATAAAAAAATCGGCGTATGCATAAATATTCTTTTAAACAAACTATTTAATTGTAAGTGAGTTTTACAGTTTGGGAAACGAAAGTTTGCTTTTGAGAAGAAACTTGAAATCTTGAAGCTAATATTTCATAATAAAATAGAATAAAATTAAAATCAAAATTAAAATGATCTATATTGGGTCAAAGCATTTTTAAATAAAGTGATCAACTTTATCACTTGAATTTCACAAACGAATACCGAAGACGACCAATTTTTGATTTTTGTTGGTGTTAATGAATCGATTGAAAGATTGATCATGTGTTCAGTCTTGCTTGATACAAAACCTGGTTAGTGTTTGATAAATTATACGCAACAAAATACGCTCAGGACACATTGTATTGTGACGCAATAATTAAATGATGAAGAGGTTAATGTAACTTTTGTACAGTCAAGTATGAAAACTGTGTTTCATCATGGGAGAAATTCGTCAAGTTCTTCCGTAATGTGGACTATATTATGTACTGTACATTGTGCAGTGTACAGTATACTCAACCAACACTTACTAAAACCAAACATGTTACCCTAATTGAAACCAAACATGTTACCCTAATTGAAGCCAAACATGTTACCCTAATTGAAACCAAACATGTTACCCTAATTGAAACCAAACATGTTACCCTAATTGAAACCAAACATGTTACCCTAACTAAAACCAAACATGTTACCCTAACTAAAACCAAACATGTTACCCTAATTGAAACCAAACATGTTACCCTAACTAAAACCAAACGGGTCACCATTTAATAGGTCACCTGAAACCAAGCATGTTACTGTACCAGAATTTCTGAACCCAAACAGTTTACCTAGAAATCTGTACCTGAAACCAACATGTTACCCAGAATAGAACATGTTACTGTACCTGAAACCAACATGTTACCCAGAACAAAACATGTTACTGTACCTGAAACCAGTTACCGTACCTGAAACCAAACATGTTACTGAACCTGAAACCAAACATGTTACTGTACCTGAAACCAAACATGTTTCTGTACCTGAAACCAAACATGTTTCTGTACCTGAAATCAAACATGTTACTGTACCTGAAAGCTGCGTCGCATAGTGCTGAGTGGATCATCGATATCAGTAAAAAATCCTTCCCTCTTCCATCTCTAAAGAAAAAGTATACTGTTATCTTTGTGAGACATCCTTATATTTTTATATCTTGTCAATATTTCTTTTCAATAAAGCTTCATAAATCACATATGCAATATCAATAAATATATTTTCATTATTGCAGCTGTGTAAAGAAATATTATGTAAGAATTAATAAGGGATGAAAAAGATTAAGTTATGAATACGTAGTTAAAAATTGAACAGAAAGGCTGAATGAATGAAAGAATGAAGAACTAAAGTGCACAACGCGACGTCTGGAAAGTATCGTCATGGGTAAAGAATTGCACTGAGATAAACTTTACTCTACGTGAGTTTTCCATTTAGAACCCTGACCCTGATATTTATATATTTTCATGAGAAAATCATTCTGTACACTTTTCAGCCGTCTCTTTATGCGAGAATTGAAGTCTCCTAATGTAAAAAAGTTGAAATTTTGCGGATTTTAGGATTTGAGCGCGAATATCTTGATGCATATACCAAGATGCATCATCTAACCGATGATATATGTGTTTTAAGCGCTTATTACCATCGTAAGTGCACATCATTTATGCAGATGATTCAGCAAGCCCCGGAAAATACAGATAATGGCATATGTATTGAATTTGTATCTAAGGTCAGTAACTCAAAGCATTCTACAACCGCACTTACATAAAAACTCATTAAAGTTAATTAATTTCCTAAAACGGCAAGAAGTCCATGTTCATATATTTTGTGATTTTTTTTGCAGAGATTACTACTTATTACCTACAAGTGCGAAGGGATTTTTAAAACTAAAAATACATAGAAAAATATTAGACAGAGAACTGTACAGAAAATGTATTTACAAGGCTAAATAATTTACCATAAGAAGAATTTGCTAAAAGCTGTAGTTAGAGTTTTATATATATATAGATTCTTTACGGTTGAACAGTTGTAAAAAATGCAATCGATATATTTTATTGGGAAATAAAATTAAAATTGCAATTTACCGCANATAAAAATAATAATAATATAATAATTATAATAATTACCTGTCCTAAAGACTCTTCTGGTATTTTCAATCTCGGGTTCCCCTGTTCTCCGACAATTAAATATTAGAACTGTAGTAGTGATAAGTTTTATTATAACAATAAAACAATGATTTAATTTTTATAATGGATATATATGAAAACAGATGTAGTTTTCAAAAAAGTTTATTTCAATTCTTAGTTCAATCGATTAGTTAGTTGATTAGTAGTTCATAAATTGATTAGTTTATAAACAGATAATTATAGTTTTAAAAATCAATAAATTTATTCAACAATAGTTTGTAAACTGATTAGTTGTTAATTAGATTTATTGAACAGAAAATTTGAAGACTTTGAACAGTTGACTAATTATTCACTTTATTTGTTGATAAAAAGAGAAACCAATTGATTTATCTTTTTATACATTGATTTATGTGATAAATTAATTATGTTTGAACAGTTAATTAGTTAATCACTCTATTAGCAGACAAACAGATAAATTGATTGATTGATTGATTGTTAGATTGGCTCATTATTTGATTTATTTATCGTTAATTGTTCCTGGCTGCAGCCGAGGCATATTATTAATATGTAGACTCCAGGTCCCAGCACCTAGATAGAAAGATAGATACATAGATAGATAGATAGATATATATAGATAGATAAATAGATGGATAAATAGATAGATAAATAGATAGATGGATGGATAGATATATAGATAGATAGATATAAAAGTATTAGGCGAAGCCCCATGTTTTATTTCAATTTTATTTGTGGCTCTATTTGTGAGCATCTTCTCTTTGTACGCTATAAAACAATAACTAAAAATATCTCGTGGATTAAACAATATTTTTTTGCGCATTTCAAAAATTTACCAAAAACCAAAAAACTTTTGGACTCAAATTTTCGTAATTTTGAGCTTTCATAAACCTTCCCTGCGGTCATGTGAGGTCCAATTGGGCCAAATCGGTTCAGTAGTTTTGACTTTTATTGGATACAAACGGACACAGACAGACGGACAAGCAGACAAACAAAGAATATATAAGTATCTGAATAATCTGCTATGTTAAAAAAACGAATCTACTATATGCGACCAAACTGCAAAAATATCCCATAATCAATTTAGATGTGAAAACAACAGTCTGCACTTGCGCTTAGTTTAAGGTAACTCTAGAATTAAACAAACAAATTTGAAATTTTCAATAACTTGCTCAAGGTCTATTGAGAGTAGAAAGTACAAAGTAAAATTACAGAGCATTGTTTGTGGCTGTTGAGTTCGGACAGAGGAGTGGGGAGTGTAGAGTAAAGAGTACGGAGTGTAGAGTATGGAGTATGTAGTATTAAGTGTGGAGTGTAAAGTGTAGAGTGAAGAGTATGGGAGTGTAGAGTATAGAGTATGGGAGTGTAGAGTGTAGAGTGTAGACTGTAGAGTGTAGGGTGTAGAATGTAGAGTGTACAGTTTAGAGTGAAGAGTGTAGAGGGAAGCGTGTAGAATCTAAAGTGTAGAGTGTAGAGTGTAGAGTGTAGAGTGTAGAGTGCAGAGCGTAGAGTGTAGAGTGTAGTGTATAGAGTGTAGAGTGTAGAGTGTAAGGTGTAGTGTATAAAGTATATATTGCAAAGTATTCTGTAGAGTGTAGAGTGCAGAGTGTAGAATGTAGTGTATAGAGTATATATTGCAGAGTATTCTGTAGAGTGTTCACGAAGTCATAAATACTTTCTTTATCTAAATGAAGAATGAAAACCATAAAATAGTGAAATGAAAGTAGCATTTTTTATTCATTTCATTAAGAATTTTATATCTGTAACTGAGCCTTTCTAAAAACGTGCCATAAATATTTATAATAATTACAAATGACAACTTTCTTACCGACATTTTGATTAAAAGAAAGAATGAAGGTGGGGCCTGATAATCAAATATTTAAAAGTCTAAATCACTTAAAGTCTTTATTTTATATGATTTGCGTGGCAGGATTCCTATACATTAGTTAAACATGATATAATTAATGTAATATACACGGGTAATAATAGGATATTTTGGCACGCAAATATAGCCATGGCTAAAAACAGAATAATTCTGCAAAATCGTAAAATACGTATAAACTACAGTTTCAAGTTCAACAGTAAAAAAATGAAAAATAAAGCCAAGAAAATAGAGCGTTCTTAAAAATAAAAATATCCACGTTTGTCTGTTTTTTATTTGATTCATTTCGATGCTTAAAGGGACTGTAAAGGAAAAATGAAAGGGGGTATAGACTGAAAGCTTATCACTTTAGCTCTCGATCGCGACCCATGAAAGTTATATCTGATGTTCCTATCTTGAGAAATTGATATAAAACTGTGTCAAATTTATACGAAAATTAATATATATACAGAGATAGAGAAAGCTAATTGTATCTTAGGTTTACTCCAATTCTAATTTTATATTTGTTATTTCTATTTTTATTAGATTTAATTCATAATATTATTTATACTTCCGTATTACTTGACCAGAAGTTCCACCAATGGCAGTGCAGTAAAGTGGTCACGTGATGCAGGCGGAGAAACGTGATCAGTATACTGCTCTGCCATTGGTGATAGTTCTGGTCACGTGATTTAAGTTTAAGCTTTTCTAAATTTTACATATATGAACTTTCGTATAATTGCAACACAGTTTTAAATCAATTTCTCGAGACAGGAACATCAGATAAAACTTTCATGGGTCGCGATGAAGAGCTAAAGTTGTTAGCTTTCAGCCTATACCCTCTTTCATTTTTCCTTTACAGTCCCTTTAAACGAAAATTACTATGTATAGTTTCTTCGATGCTTTTAGTTATGTTATGGTTTTATAGGGACTTATACCATGACCAGACCACGCACCATGGAGTGTTTGCTTTATTTACCCAATGTCTGGGCGATACAGTACAAACTGGGACCATAAAGGTTGTCCCGGCTCGGAAATTCAAATGTACTACTGCTTCCCGTGAGACGTAACCTGACCCTCCATTTAAATCGATATGACCGATTCATGATGTTTTTCTTTAGCCTTTTATCGATCGTGTTAACGAGGAATATATCGTCGTTTTCTTAGTTGAAATTAACGAGGTTATAGCATATAGAGTGATGATGTACGCTAATCCGTTACTAATTGTACAGGGCATGTACTCCACTTCCAAAGGTCAATCTGTATATTACAGTAACCGGGGGTGATTTTGGAAAATATTTAAATGGAGAATTTGTTTTCCATGTAACTATTAACATCCACTACTTTTTATCGTGTGCTAGGTTTCATTTTCACAGGAAGAAGTACATTTACAGTCTTTTACAGGGCAAATATTTTATCGTTAATAAACTGTTCTGAGAAAACTGAGTAAAATTCAAGATACAAAACCTCCCCAAACACGTGTACTCCGAAAGCGTACTGCATATTTGATGCTTGTACTGTAAGAATAGGCCATAATCCCTTATTATGCTTTATCAGTAAACTATCCCGGGTGTACACTCAGGCTAATATACACATAGAGGTAGCTAAGATCGAGTCTCCCTGGTTGAAATTGTATAATTTCTCAAATTTCCTTCATCGTCTCTGTTACATAAACCTGCAAACCATTGTTAAAGTGAACCGCAATTGAAAATAACAAAATTTTAAGATAAACCGTTGCATTGATAAAGGTTAAAAGAGTACCTTAGTGGATGGAACATAGAATCCTTGAAATGAATGGCTACTTGCAAACATATTTACAGACCCTTTAAACATATTTACAGACCCTTTAAACATATTTACAGACCCTTTAAACATATTTAAACACCCTTTAAACATATTTACAGAAACTTTAAAAACTTAAAATAAAATAAAAATTTTTTTTGCACTGACATTTTTTTCAATTTGGTTTTAAATAATTTATTGATTTTAATACGGTACATTTATTTTAGCCTGTCATTATAAATATAAATTCTATGTAAAAATACAACCACCTTCGTTTCAACAATACGCTTTTAAATATTCTTTTTATACTCCAGATCTGTCTATCTACATATCTATCTACCTGTATAACTGTCTATCTGTCTATCTGTCTATCTGCCTATCTGTCTATCTGTATATCTGTCTATCTGTCTATCTTTCTATCTGTATATCTGTCTATCTGTATATCTGTCCATCTATCTAAACTACCGATCTATAATTATTCAGTTACAAAACCAAATTTAATATTTTAATTTGTAACCGATTTATATAATGGCCACTCATAACAATATAGTCAGGATTATTATTAATAGTTGCCAAATAGAGCCGATTAAAGTTCTGAACCTGTATTGTACAGAGAGAACAAAAAACATAGGATCGATTAGATGACTGTTATTGTTTTTTCTCCTCTCTATTCCAGAGTAGTGTTCAACTCAAAAATGTGTTCTTACTTAGGAAATGTTTTTAACTATTCGTATCAAATGATTGACATTTCTTGGATATAAATCATGCATTTTTTTTCGTGTCCTTCTTAATTTTTAGCTATATATATATCAGCCTGTTTATGATTTTGTGTTTTGTGCAAGAAAGTCTAAATCAGTTTGTTTATTGAAACCTAGACAGTTATCAGTTGTTTGTCTAATAATAATATGATTTAGAAACACTATTTGAACTTTGAAGTAATCCTATCGAAAATGACTTACATAAATATACAGAAATACTGAAGATTTCTTAAACTTAAAGATCTTAAAAAACTTTGAAAGAAAAGTCTTATTAATATATATATATATAGACATATATAAAGGAACAGCTAATTTATTAGATTCGATCAAAGGTTTATAAGATAATCTCAAAGATTAAAGAAATCTTATCTTCAGTATTTTTGTAGTTTAGGTTTGTCATTTTTGATAGGATTACTACCAATTATGTTTCTAAATCAATCATTATTAGATATCAACATCAAAAATAAAACAAAGCTGGAAGTGTAATTTCAAATAACGCTTCACGTAAAGATGGCATGAAGTATATTCTACCATGATGTGCAATTCTAATTTATTATCTGTATTCATAATATTATTATCTTAACTATTTTGTATGTTGACCCAGCCGGGCTAGCCCGGTCAGTTCATTTTACCTGTTTATAAATAAAGTAGTTGAATATCATTAGTTGATCAGAACGGACGTATATAGAGCCTTGAGTTTTGGCTAGAGACTTAGTTAGAGAGAATCTCATTAGACTTTGAGTTAAGTAATCGTTAGAGAAGTAGCGTCTAGATTTGTTACAGGCACTACCCAATTCACAACGGTACCATTCAAATCTGTGTCTGATCAAGTATGAATTAGTAATAAATGTTAACGATTTGAAATCTTATAGTTTTCACTGTGGTTTCTCCATTAAAGTGACTTGCGCATTTCTTCTTCAGGCATACATAAAAGAATTATTATAAATAAACCCTTTTAAACCTATAGAAAGCACTCCCTTTAAAATAAAACTGCAACGGAAATATTTATCAAAAATTGGTACTGTAGATTTGCTAAAAACTGTAATTGCATATAGAAATACTTGAAAAGTAAATGTTATTTTAATTGCAGGGTCTCAACTCTCACAACAGTGTAAAATTTCTAAAATGTGTATACAGTGAAGTTTAAAGCATTAAAGTGTTAAATAAAGCTA